GGTTCCTTGAAATAATAAAGTTCAAACTCCTTAGGGGGTGAATGAGCAAGTATTGCAGCTGCTACTCACAATTTGTATCCTAATTACAGCTAATATAAATACCCTCCTTGTATCCCAATTTAATTGAGATGCCCCCCCGCACCACCCGCCATTTTGGTGGGGTAGAATTGCCTTTTGGTGCATAATAAAGTAGGGGTCCGGGCGCTTACTTCCCCGAGAAAGTTTGAACTTTCTTAACATCAGAAACACTGGTTTTTGGCATTCTGGCAGAAAAGGGATGTTTGCATTATCACAGCCCCCGTCACTGCAAAACTTGAAGGAATTTTTTGGGTACCCCTCTCCACCTTTACACCCAATATTTTCCTCTTGACCCTCCTTTTCAAAGCCATATTTTTTCAAGCTCGCCCCCCCCCCCTCCCGGATAAAAAACGAACGGTCCCTTATTGAAAATATTTGCACTCAATACAAAAGTCCTTATTTATTGACTCCAGAGGAACCCTAGGTTCAACATCACACCATATTTCCGTGTAGTAATCTAAAAATAATAAGACCCCTAGGGGCACTGAGGGGCCAGCGGCACATACCCATCAGTTATTCAAAGACCCTGAGTGTAGGTCCACCCCTGGTTACAAGTCCTTCACAGGCAAAGGCCGTTATCTTAAAATGAGGCGATCATTTGGAAGTGACTAACAGATTGGACTACGAGAACGAGTGTGAGCACGAGACTTGAAACCAAGGTCGTGGTGCGCAGCAAATCATAAACACTTCTCACGGCAATTGAAAGTGAAGTCTTTGAAGGAACAGTAAGAGGGAAAGGAGAAGAAAGAGTCTGTCGGCTGATTGACTGACGCCACTTTCATGATACCCAAAAATGGAACTCAAACTGTAGCCTGAGAAAACAGCTGACATTGCGTGTTGCCACCACTGATTTCCCCGCGAAATGACGTCTAAAAAACGAGCGCAGAGAACCCATACTGATGACGCTTCACTACCCAGATCTGGATAGTCGTCACTACCTAGATCTGGGTAGTGCTTCTGATTGGTCGGGCAGTTACACGTCATCAGTATGGAATTTTTACGCTCGTTTCTCAGACGTCGTTTCGTGAACAAACCAGTGGTGGCATCGCGAAATGTCGGCTATTTTCTCAGACTATCAAATCTGAGGATTTGCCAGGAAAAAAATCACAGCAAGTTGGATAAAAATGCTACATATAAATCAGCACAACACTTTGAGTTCTCATAGCTATTTTTAATTTAGCTATCCACATTACACAGTGATGATGGATCAATTGTACCCTTGGACAAATAAAATTACATCTAATTTTAAATAAGACTCGTAACAAAACATAGAATAAATACATTTGCACTCGATTTAGAGCCACGTGAAAGTCAGTTCCTGAGTAATGTAACTCTGCTGTTGATTTTCTTTAAGAACGCTCAAAGTATTTTGTCACGCTTTAAAGAGATTTAGAATGATGTTTACAACAAACGGCAAACTTTAATTGCCACCACGTGACCGATCTTCTTTTTACTTTTCATTTACTCTTCATTTCTCTTTATATGTAATAAGTAGTTTTCTTTAAGTTCATATGTGACAATTATTTTGGACAGGTTGGATCTGCTTATCTCGTGGTTTGAAAAATTCTCAACTTGAACTGGCGTCTANTTACACGTCATCAGTATGGAATTTTTACGCTCGTTTCTCAGACGTCGTTTCGTGAACAAACCAGTGGTGGCATCGCGAAATGTCGGCTATTTTCTCAGACTATCAAATCTGAGGATTTGCCAGGAAAAAAAATCACAGCAAGTTGGATAAAAATGCTACATATAAATCAGCACAACACTTTGAGTTCTCATAGCTATTTTTAATTTAGCTATCCACATTACACAGTGATGATGGATCAATTGTACCCTTGGACAAATAAAATTACATCTAATTTTAAATAAGACTCGTAACAAAACATAGAATAAATACATTTGCACTCGATTTAGAGCCACGTGAAAGTCAGTTCCTGAGTAATGTAACTCTGCTGTTGATTTTCTTTAAGAACGCTCAAAGTATTTTGTCACGCTTTAAAGAGATTTAGAATGATGTTTACAACAAACAGCAAACTTTAATTGCCACCACGTGACCGATCTTCTTTTTACTTTTCATTTACTCTTCATTTCTCTTTATATGTAATAAGTAGTTTGCTTTAAGTTCATATGTGACAATTATTTTGGACAGGTTGGATCTGCTTATCTCGTGGTTTGAAAAATTCTCAACTTGAACTGGCGTCTACCCTTTGCCGTGAACTTAATTCTAAATCTCTATGTTACGTCATTAAATAAACAAAAGGAAATATTAAATACTAGGAAAATGAACATCTTACATTTAGCTCTGTGCCCGATTGTACATATTATAGTCTGCGAAAACAGCGGACATTCCGCGACACAACCACTGCTTTCTCCGCGCTTAAGGAACCACTGCAGAAATTCCATACTGATGACGCGTCACTACCCAAATCTGGGTTGTGCTGGCTTCTGATTGGTTGAAAACTTGCTCCATTCAATCAGAAGCACTACCCAAATCTGGATCCTTAGACGTCATGTCACGCGAACCGTCCGCTGTTTTCCCAGGCTAACATATCATAGTAGTCTTAAACAACCCAAGAGTGGCAAATATGTTGCGGAAGTATATCGAATTAAAGTTCACGTCATAAATAATTAGAAAAAACCTTCACCCAGAAAAGTACTACTTGCTAGTTTTCGTCGACTGATCAACATCAGCTTGTTTTTTTGATGAAATGCATCCTCGGAGACCCAGGAATAGCAGTCGTGTACCAACTCACGAAAAGAACTCAGGAGATGCTGTTCGCCCATTGGGCACAATAATACAAAGCATTTCTTGTGCCGCAATCAGGAGCCTGCATTCGCTTGACCGTTTGGAAATGGTCCGGTGAGAGTCGGTACTCAGGGGCTCTTCCGCTCGTGCGTGAAAACTTTCGTCGCGCCTTTTCTCCCGACCCGACTGACTGCCCCTGGGTCTCCGAGGATGGATGAAATGAAAACCTTCAGGAAAATGCTTTGATCTTTAAACATATTCTCTCAACTACTTCTATAAGGCAATGTAAGATCAGTCTAGAGAATTTGTATATGGATGTGGGCGCTTTAGGGTTAATACATAATACAGTTTGAACCACTTTTAAGGATAATAAATAGCACTCATTGGGCACATTAACAATTCAAGACAGTAACAGTGTATGTGGCTGGAATAGCAACATTTCTAAGCTAATTAATTTATCATATATTACTTTATATGTTGATTATATTAATTCTGCCATCAACGTCATTACATGAAGGAAATAAGATGTTTGTATTTTGTCT